CATGTTTTTGAACTGCTGTTTTAGGCCTTTTTTTTTTTTTTTTTTTTTTTTTCCAGCGCCACAGAAAATGGCGAAACTGTGTCAAAACAGGAAGTGGGGGAAGATGGGCTGGGTCAGGCTCAGTAGTCCGGCACAGTGTGACCCTAGGTGGGGGTTCCTGTTACAAAGGATATAGGCTGACTGCCGCCTCCCTGTGCGGCCCTGAAGGACACATTTTTACTGTATGGAAAAAAAAAATTGTATTGGTGGCCAATCCGAAACACAGTACATGATTTTTTTATTTTTTATTTTTTTTGTGATTGTGAATGCAACTATGGACCAGGAGGTCACTGTGAAATGATGCTCTATAAAAAGAACATTTGTCCTTCCAGAACCATACATATAGATTTAACTCATTGGGTCAATGCAACATAAACTTCCTAAATTAATATATTTAGTTTTATTTGCACTGTTCTTGGAGCGGGCTCCACTGCCAAAGACGCTTTTGAAACTCAATGGGAGTATTTCTGGTAAAGTACATTTAAAAAACCAATACATAAAACATAGAGGGTTTTTAGAACAAACCCGTTTAGTTTTAGACACATTAATCACATTTATGCTTTTACAGGAAAGTAGCCATATCAAAAATAATATTTAAAAAAAAAAAAGATGGCCGGTCACAAATAATGTTTCTTTGGCAACAGGTCTCAAAGTTAGGAAGTACTCTAAAAACAAGACAAAATAGTTGTGATGACAAAACACTGGCTCAAAAGTCAGTCTAGGCTGAAACAAGAGACAAAACGACTAAACATGCTGAGTAACTGGTGCCATGCAGACAATAAAGTTTTTAAAAGTACTTGAAACTAAAGATTATTATATTTCATACAACATATGTGACACTTTTCATTCTGCATTTTAGATACTAAAAAAGGAAGGTTTTCATTCCATCATCTTACCAGCCACACCAGACGTTTCCAGAAAAATGCCCAGCAGCAAAAGAAACGCGACCGCCTGCATCATCATCCGGCAACAAGCAAGGACTGAATCCTCATCAAAGTATCAACAAAACCTTTGGAGCGACAATAAAAAAATAAATAAATAAAAGTCTCAAACTTTCTCATTAGGAATCCATGACGACGGAAAAAGGTTTTCTGTTCCACGGCCAGTGGTCAGGGCGCAGTGCAGGGCGCCTGGGTGTGTTTCTCACTGAGCTGCTGTTGCTGCTGCTGCTGAGGATGCAGAGAGGCGCCTCAGTGAGAGGCCCGCAGGGAAGGAGGGGCATCTGCAGCTACACAGCACACAACAGCTGAACCTGTTCGTGAAGGGCTGACCATTCAGCCTCATCCAGACGTTTTCAATCTGCCTCATCAAAACTGGTAAATTTCACTCAGTTCATCTAAATCTTGTTACATGTACCAAATGAAAATATGTGACTGGTGGAGAAAATGTTTTACCGGCCTCTTGGACATTTCATCAGCCACTGTTTGTTTCTTTTTTCTTCTTCTTTCGATTACTTTATAGGTCTTATCAGATTAAAACGCACCTTTTGAAAATCATAATCTTTAAGCAGCTGTCCGGCATACGGTTCATTAAGCTCACATTTCTGTTATTAAAAATAGAAATTTTTGTTCTCACTAACTATAAGAGGAAAATCATCACACTTAACATAAAAAAAGGATATCAAACATCCATGTGTGTAATTTATCTACATAAGTTGTTCAAATAGTGATAAAGTTTCCGAAATAAATAAACTTTTCAGCCATTTTCAAATTTATGGGATGAGTCCATATAGCCTGAAGAACTTAACATGTCACCAATTTTCTAAATAAGTGTCTTTTAGAGGTGAAATTGGCAAAAAAAAAATTTTACTCAAAAATGACCAAGAGAGGGCGACAAAACGCAACTAAACTGGGACTAAGCATTAACTAAACTTGCAATGCAATCAGTTGAGATACAAAACATTGCAACATAGGTAGGAAAAGAAAAGAAAACAAAACATGGGGCTAAGACTACAAAAGACAAGCATGTAAGGCAAATGATAAAAATAGAGCAAGATTTTTAAAAAACACCATCACTGTCCATTAAGTCAGTGACAACCAGAATACCTCTTTTGTACCGGTCAGTTTTAAAAATTTATTTTCTGTTTACCAACATTGATCTGTCATTCCACAATATGTATGCGTGTGGGGTGAACTTTGTGGATAATATAATTTTCCCAAAATTCAAAACTTGTTTAAGAAAATTAGACAGTGAAATAGAAATCTTGGTGAATTCAAAATCACATTTAAGCAAGAAATCCAAGCCGCCCAGTTTATATTAAATATGGCTTCAGGAATATGAAACCACATTGAGTTGGGAAGCAACAAACAGGTCGTCACCCAATTTATTCTGAATGAACCAATCAGAGCCTCAAAATCTAAAGTTCTAATTCTACCCTTATAAGATGGCATTGTTGAAAATGGTGAGTTTTGTTCCTCTAGAGATGAACTGAAAGATTATTGAATTGGCTTTCTTAATATTTTTGTTGGACATAAAAGCCAAATGGCAAGGACAAATTAATTTGGACACTCCTTAAGTTTAAAGGTAATAAATTTTTCCAGAGGTCATCAAAGGTCAAACACCAAAGAAAAGTCTCACTTCATTGGGCTTTAGGCGACATTTTGACTTTGCAGTTATCTCAAAACTCAATCTTGCTTTAAAATGTGCATCTTGAAAGATTGAGTTGTGATGAATGTTTTCCATTTTCTCACCACTGAGTGGTTTATGTTCTCAGACCTCTAGATTTTAAAGGTCAGCGTCCCACAATTCAGTACAAAAAGAATGGCCGCAAAACGTTGACACGACGAAGCAGAAAAGGAAGCCAATTGTATGAAAGAGCATTGCAAAAAGGATCAGGGAGAACAATGCAGCTGCTCCACCACTTACATGGCAAATGTATAAACAAAGCAAAAAATGTATTTTTATTATTTTAAGTAGCATAGCAGCTCTTGTTATGGTTTACAACTGTGAAGTAAGCCTTAGATAGCTGTAGCAGGTTGTTAACTTATCAGTTTTTTTATTTAAAATAAACTGATGAAAAATAAACTGAGTTTTTGATAAATAGAAAGTGAACACAAAACTAAATAAAAACATAAAATAAAATAATAAAATAAAAACATAAACAATGTAATTAAACTTTCGCAGTGCATGTCATTATGAACCATGTCAGATTTTCAGATTTCAGGTTGGTAAAAGCCTCCATCTTACCCAACTTGGACTTACAAGTTTTTCTAAATCAACGACTAATGTCAACTTCTGAAAACATTATCCAAATTGCATCCCAACAAATACTACAGATCCAGTGAATAAAAGATGTAAGAATTCATACCATAAGAGTTCTTAAACGGCCTGTCAGTCTGGTTGTCTCGTGTTTGGCACTGGGAACTGGGCAGCAGGGGGGACAGGAAACAGTCCACATTTCCTCAGACAGGATACAGTGCTCCTCCAAGAGGCGTCCTGGAATCTGCTGTCTCTAAGGTCCAGCCAAGTTTTCCGTTCAAAACACACCGACTTTAAGCGTCACATTGTGAAGAGGGAGCACACACTGATGACTGGTCAACCTGCAAGAACTGAGCTCACCTGCAGATAAGTTTGCCATGCAACCAAAAATGCACAAATGCATCTTCTGGACACCATTTATGGAAATTCCTGCTCCAGGGCATAAATCACGTCTCATTTTTGGGGTGGGGGCAGGGGACCATAAACAGGAAAATTTCTTAAGACCAGTTACAGTAAATTGTAACGTAAAATGTTACATTTAAAAACTTTTTAAACCACATTCAAGCTGCAGGAGCAAAAGTGACTAGAAATGCACAACAAACATGTTTTTCCAAGTAAGCAAACTGTCGAGAAAGAAAACTAAAATTCAGATGTTGCTTAGGTACGAGTTTTATTCAGTCTGACTGATCTAATCTGTGCTACACCTTTACAAAAATATAAGGTTCTAAATGTAGCAGAGTGGAAAAGCAAAGCTTCATGATGACCACCACAGGGAGCTGTGTGTAGATGAGCCCTGAACTTTGCCGGCTCGTTAGAAATAAAAACATTTCAATGAGTTACTGCTCTTAATAAAATTCCCCATGAACATTGATCTATTGAAATGTTCATACAAGTTATGGCCTATTTAATTTATAACTTGTTAAGTTGCTTTATTTTTCAGCCTTATTAAGAAAAAGGTTTGAACCTGAAACCAAGCTTGGTTGACTTTCCTATTGTACTAATCCCACTACTGTAAATCAAACATTTTCCATCACTATAGATGCTTGACAGGTTGAACTGAACTGGTTAAACCTCCACTACGTTGTGTTTATACCAACAATGCATTGAGAGCAAATGCCAGTGCTTTGTGGAAAGCATTCAGGTCAGATTTAACCAAACAAAAACTTTAAAATACAAGAACAAGAAACAAGAAATGAACACCGATTACATCATCCATTTGCGCAGTCATAGATGGTAGTGGCAGCATCATGCTGTGGGGAATTCTATTCTTTACCAGAGACAGAAAACCTGGCTCGAGTGGTTGTGAAGATCAATGTGCCTTAAAACAGGGGATAATGGGAGAACTCCTATTAAGATTAAATGTCTTAACAGGGCCTTATGTGTAAAAATATGACTAAAGTTATTTTTCAAAGAAGGGGCAGACATGTCTGTCTCAGTCTGAACAGCCAGTGAAGGCTGCAACCGTGCATGACAACATACAAGTGCACAAATGCCTTTCTTTTTATTTTATTTTTTTCCATCTGTATCATTTTCTGTCCACTTCACGTATTTGTGCTCATTTGTACATTTGTTCCAATTAAATGCACGGGGGTTTGAGGATGTAAAGTGACAAAACATCCAAACAATTCAACAAACGGTCAACGCAGATGACCAAGAACCAAGAACGTGAACGGTTGAGGAACAATGGCGCCCTCTAGAGATCCAACCTCGGAATTTTTTTGTGTGTGACAGCGGAACCATTAGCACTGCCAGCTTTTTCCGGGAGTCATTTTCTGCGCTGCACAAAACATTGTCCACGATCAGCTGAGCTAAATCATGACTCGGAGCTTCCTCAGCCTTAGTCTGATAGATACTTGCTGGTTATCTCTGGCTCTGTGCTTCCTTGTGGCTTTCTGCGTCCACAAAGCTTCAGCCCAGCTTCCGGGAGAGTACCGGAAGTCCAGTCTGTTCTCACTGTTTCAAGATCTGATTCGCTACGGGAAAACCAAACAGAAGCTGCACCGAGCGCAATGGTTGCGAGTGTTTGACGTCCCGAAACGGTAACAAATTATGTAAAAAAAAAAAAAAAAGATTATTTTTTTAATTTAGAAAAAGTGTATTGATTTTTCATTTACTATAAATAACAGGAATGTTTGGCTTCAGATGCCACCAGCTCAGTGAAACCCAAGCCTGTTCTGTTCATCCAGGTGGTTTTGGCACTTTTATGCCATCTCTATTTGCTGGAATAGTTTCCTCCTGCTGTTGTCTTTCAACGTCATCTACCAGCTGCAGTCATACCCGTCCTGGCTGACTCGCATGTTGGAGGTTTTAACCGGGGAACCCAGTTCTTTTGGCCAAGGTAAACCAGCTCTTCTCTATTAGGAGTTTGGATGTCCTGTCCGATCCTCGCTGATGACGGGTTCGGGGGGGTTCCTCTCTGCAGCCCCGCAGCTGTCCACGGTCCTGGTGCAGCTGCTGCTGTGTGTCCACTCCCTCAGGAGGCTGCTGGAGTGTCAGGTGATCAGCGTGTTTTCTGATGGGGCCATGCATCTGGTGCAGTACTTGTTTGGCCTGGGGTATTACATTGTGCTGGGACTGACTGTGCTTTGCTCGGATCGCACGGCAAAAGGTTAGATCCTCTACTAATCCTGTCATGTACCGATCCGCTGTGGTGATCTAAATGCTTGTGCCGCTTGTTTAGGTCCTGGGACTCTCCTCTCTCGCTCGGATTGGATTCGTGCGGCCGGATTTGTTCTCTTCATCGCGGCCTCTCTGCTGCAGCATCAGTCCATAGTCCTGCTGGCGGGGCTGCGCAAAGGAAAGTCAGGTCAGTGTGTGACTTTAACTCAAGCAACTACTGACACATCTAAGAACCTTAGGAGTCAGTGCAACACAATCACACATAGGCATAACATGAGACTAATATCTCAATAACCTCAAAGAGAGAAATATAACTCAAATAATTTTATGAAAGAGGAAACAAACAATTATTACTGCTACTAAAATAATATAGTTATCATAACTGTTGCTATCTATGACATTTATTATTTAGTTTTCTAGAGTACAGCAAACCTTTAGTATACACGTCTGCTAAAGTACTGGTTTTCAAGTATGTAGTACAGTAAATATTGTTGTTGTTTTGTTGTTTTTTAGTCATTTTGTACTCTTTGGAGTTGCATAAGTAAAATAAGCTAAAATTAAACGAATAGGTACGCAGCGCACCCAAAACAATCAAGCTATGTATTACGATATTGATATTAAGATGAAAAATCTGAAATAAAATTTGATGAAAGGGCAAAGTAAGTGTAATAATTTTCAAAAAAGACAGAAATATTGAAGTTAAAATAGACAACACGTCTTAGTTGTCACAAAGAAGTGCAGAAAGCAGCAAAAAGAGCAACGCAGCCACCATTACTAATACGAATCAGAACACATGTTCTGCTGCAACTGCTGCTGTGAAAAACCTAAATGCATTCTTTGACCTGTTCGCTTCTCCTTTTAGGACGAGTGGAGACTCTGGCTCACCTGGTGCCAGAGGGGGGCTGGTTCGAGCTGGTTTCCTGTCCACATTACTTCGCTGAGCTGCTCATTTACGTCTCGCTGGGCTTCGCTCTCGGCGGGTTCTCTTTCACCTGGTGGCTGGTGGTCCTTTACGTGCTCTTCAACCAGGCACTGGCTGCACAGCTTTGTCACGACCTTTACGTCGGCAAGTACGAGTCGTACCCAAAGCACAGAAGAGCTTTTATACCTTTTGTTCTCTGAGCTCTCTGCAACAATAAATAGGCAGATGATTGGGATACAAGATGCAAATAGTGGACTTTAAATCAGTGTTGATATTACTGTCAGATCTTGTTTTATACATGACATAGCTTGAATTTTTTTATGGTATGCCGACATGTTTTTGTTTGTTACAACATTCCATATTATTGTACATGAAGTTCAAACTTATTTATGAAGATGTAAAACAACTCCCATTGATGTAAAGTGTTTTGCATTAAAATAATAACACACCAAAGAATGGTAAAATATTAAAATGACAAGATAAAAAAAAAACTGAGGGTAAATAAGTTTCCCCTCATGGGTCCTTCCAGAAAGCGTTGTCCAGGTTGGCTGTCCAGTCGGAGGCCACTAATAATCTCTTGGTGCCATAAAAATAGCAAACGCCATAAGAGAATTTCAAGAGTGCCATTTATGCATATTGATGAAGTGGAGTTTTACATTTCAGGTCAAAACAAAGACAGAGCTGTTTAAATAAGAGTGATTTTAGAAAATGCATGTGAAATAATACAACAGAGGTATTTTCTGAAGGCTGTTGAATGCTAACTCTGTCGTCACACTCTTTGAAAATAGAGCTGTTGGGTCATTGTGCTCTGAGCTCTCTGCAACAGTAAATAGGCAGATGATTTGCAATCGGTGGGTAAACGGAGCTCTCCGGATCGGATGTCAGTGGCTACTGGAGCTGAACAAACATTTATACAATCATGGTGGTTTTGGTCCTTCTCAGGCTAAAGCATCAGACACTCAGAAGAGGCTTTGCATTCATAATGGGTGGGCCATGTGGACTTCAAATTTGATCATATTATTGTTTTTGTTTCTTTTGTTTTTTGTTGTGGCTATTAAAGTATAATCGCACCAGAGTCTTTTGCCTCCAAATCTGACAGTACTGCTGTCACAAGACGGGGCCTGTTTCGGACAGGAAGGCTGTACAGCAGGTGATTAAAACTACTGAGAACGTCACTGGTATGAGTAAACATCAATGATGTTGACCAAGTTCCCTCTTGATAAACCAGTTACTGAGTGTAACTGGTTCATCTTTCTTTTATCTACCCAAAGATATAGAAGTAGCCACAGCCCTTCCAACTGACTCAATGAACAGTTTTTTCAGCTCAGACTTTAAACTGCTGAACTGACTTTAAATGCATTTTATCCAAACTTAACACATAATTTAATTTGCTACACTGATCAATGATTTAAATGTTACAATTGGTATATAATAATAAAAAAACATTTAGCATTAGAAAGTTAGAACTGTGCGAGTGTTTTTAATTGTAACATGCCTTGGGTGTTGCACAGAAAGGCAAACTGATCTGGTTTCCCTTTTTCAAAGAAAACATTCACGTACAGGCTGAATTATGCATGAAGTACCATTACTGGATGTCACTGGACTGTTCAAACTTCCACCAGACTGAATGGGCCATCTTGAAAAACAGAACTGTGCAGAGAAGTAAGTGTTATGAAAGGGAAACAGTCCTGGGTCATGCTGACCGCAAAGTGTGCTAAAGCTGTGCAGGGTTGCTTCTCGTTCAATGTAAAAGTGGGCTGATATGTAGAACATTGGCTTTGTTGCTAATATTGTTGGCCAGCCGACACTAATTAACGCCTAGCTTTTATTTGAGCATCGCCTCATTAAATTTCCACGACAAATTCCCTTCAACTTTGAGCTAATGCCGACAATGAAACTGTCCAATCACCTAATCCTCCACTCAGGTCGTCATCGCATGCGTGGAGCGTCATTATGTTTCACTGTCCAATCAGGTGTCGGCTCTGTTAACTCAATGCCGGAGCGACATTACAACTTCCCTCTTGAGTTGGCCCATTTGGTTTCATCGTGACGTGTAACACCGGGTAGTCCGTCAACATGAGCAGTTTGTAAAAACGAAGTTTGCTAGTTCTGTTTAGAGCAAAATGAAGTGAATTTCGGGGTTGAAGACGGTCTTACAGCTCGCGTTGGGTCACTTCCGGTAGCAATAATGCCTGTGTTGTTGGGAAGAGGAGCTAACAGAAGTCTGCTGCTCCCACTCGCCGCCGCGCTGTTGCTGTCGATCGGAGTTGCTGCCATTCAGGAGGAGGAGAAAGCGGCACAGGAACAGCCGCAAAAGGAGGTAAAATTGTGCATTTTCATGTCCAGTTAAAACATTTTGTCACGGTCGGCGGAGAGCTTCTCTGAAGCAGCTAGCTCGTATGAGTTAGCGCGTGCTAACCAATAAACACCAGCGTTTTCCGGGTGCTATGTTTCCAGAGTGACCGATTTGATGTAGTTTTTGACTGATTTTTTATGTCTACAAAGCTGCCAAAGTGCTTATAAACTGGGGTCATGGTCGGTTTCATGTACTTCCACCGGTTCCGACAGTTTTGTTTCCTGACTCATGTTATCACGTGACCTAGTTTGGGACGCAGTGTGGATTTTTCTCTAAGCGCTGTAACTTGGCTGTTGTTTTGTTTCACAGAAAGCCACCAGTCCCCATCCAGTGGGGCCGATCGTTACTGAGAATGGCGCCTCCAGCAAAGGGAACCTGGGTTTTATCCACGCCTTCGTGGCCTCCATCTCTGTCATCATCGTCTCAGAGTTGGGAGACAAGACGTTTTTCATCGCAGCCATCATGGCCATGCGTTACAACCGCCTCACCGTGCTGGCAGGGGCAATGCTGGCTCTGGGGGTTATGACTTGTCTGTCAGGTTTGCGTCAACTTTTATTTTTTTTTTTCGCACCTGGACAACTATTTTATTGCTTTCCGAAATGTAATACAAATCCTATTTCCTCCTCTCTTCAGTATTGTTTGGCTACGCCACCACGATCATCCCTCGAATCTACACCTACTACGTATCCACCGCACTGTTTGCCATCTTCGGGGTGCGCATGTTGAGAGAGGGGCTGAAAATGAGTCCAGACGAAGGGCAGGAAGAGCTCGAGGAGGTGCAAGCAGAGATCAAGAAGAAAGATGAGGAAGTGGGTCCAATTTGCCTATTCAAAGAGCATGCAAATTTTTTCTGAATTATCCACAATCGGTCGAAAATTTTGTTCCCGCAAAAGTGCCTTGTTCGCTCCTTTGTGACTCGGCCTCAGTTTAGAAGATTATAGCTTTGCATTTCATAAAAATCGGTGCGCCAATCTGTGTGCAAAGCTGCTGATGCCAATTTTAGTTCGTGTAATTGCGTCAGGAACTCTCCGCCTGGCCTTTCTGCCATCCATGAGGTTCCAGCACAAAGAGAGCAGAACGGACGTTGCACCACTGTGAAGAAAGCACAGTGGTTCTAATAATATGTCGCAACAAAAGGAAAATAATTGGAGTTACCCATTAAAACAATCTATAGTTCCTTTATCTTACTGACTGGGACAATCAGTAATGCATACCTGGAATCTGCTTCTCTGTGCGGCTTTTTATGACCTTTTTTATGTCAGCTCATGTTTTTTTGTTTGCTGTGTTCTCTAATTTCTTTACTTTCATCTGCAGCTCCAGCGCTCCAAGCTGGCCAACGGCACTCCAGACGTGGAGGCGGGAGCAGGAACCCCCGTACCTCAGTCCAAGTGGCACAAGCTGATCTCGCCGATTTTCATCCAAGCCTTCACGCTCACCTTCCTGGCAGAGTGGGGGGACCGCTCACAGCTGACCACCATCATTCTAGCTGCCAGAGAGGTTTGTTGCGCTGCAGTTGGTGACCGATTGCTGCTTTGTTTATTCTGGATTTCATTTTTTATTCGTTTTCATGCTTATTTGCTAGGATCCATTTGGAGTTGCAGTAGGTGGAACAGTGGGCCACTGTTTGTGTACAGGACTGGCTGTGATTGGAGGCAGAATGATTGCTCAGAAGATTTCTGTGAGGACAGGTGAGATGTTGTCTTTTCTTTTAATCCACTTGGAAATGTCTCAAAGGCTGTGAGGATTCAATTTATTATTATCTTTAAGAAAATGCTCAGAAATTGTTTGTATCCAATTTTCTCATTTATCTGAGTCTATTAAACAAAAAACTCAAATCTGGGAGTTAAAAATAGATTTTTTTAGAAATGTAGATTATGTCATCTATTTTGGATTAACTTCATTTGAGTTTTTGTTCCACTGCTCATTCATTTGGATAAAAATAAATACATTTCATAAGACTAAATCGCATCACTTCAGCTTTTTGATACATCCAACTCTAGATTTTCAGAATGAGAACCAGTGAATGTGAACCAGTCCTCATGGTGCAGAGTTTCAATTCATTGTTGAATTCTTTTTTAAAAACTGTTGGCCTGAAATTGTCTTATTCTTTTGTCTTCAGTTACCATCATCGGAGGGATTGTATTTCTGGCGTTCGCCTTATCTGCCCTTTTCATCAAGCCAGAATCTGGACTTTAATTGGTGGACAAAGAGGAAACTGTTCATTCTGTAAATACGTGTAAGAGTTGACCAACTCGCTGGAAAGAGACTTTAATTTGGATTCAGAATTTGGTGTATCTCTTGAGTCCCAGCAGCTTTTTGTCCACGTTGATTTTTTTGAGGCCATTTCCATTGTAGACGTCAAGAAGTCGCATAACGGTAGACAAGCGGACTTCCTAATAAAAACTGAAAAGCACCTCGTACAACCTACTTTTTCTAGAAAAGCATTTGTCCGTGACTCGGGTGAATTAGAAAACGAGGAGTGCATTCCTCCACAGGTTCAAATAGAGGCACATCACAATGCCGGGAAGAGCAGCTGCTCCCTCAACGAGTCGTTCTACCTTTCGTCAAAGAGCAGAGACCTCACGCTGCCCCCCATTTTAACGTTTTATTTGGTGCAACAGAATCATTGAGTTACTGTGGCTGCAGCCAGAAGGGAAACTGTAGTTGCTCGCTCTTAAGAGCTTTATTCACATCTGGAACAGTGTTGAAGAAACCCTACACTAGACCCAACAGCAGACCTCTTGACTGTACACGCCTGTGTATCAAACTGAACCTGACATGCACTACTTTTCTCCACATTGTAGGCTCACTGTAGGCAGTCACAGCTTTCAGTTTGCATGGTGCAGTACAGTACTGTCCTGCTGGACCTCCTTTACTTTGATCAGTAATAATAAAAAGTAGTAGAGTAACGAGGTCAGTGGTTCTCATCTGGATAACATGTTATGCAAAAAAAAAAACAACAACCCAAAAACATGAAATTGTTGGAGAAATAGTTTGGTTGCTTTTAAATGTTTAGTTCTATATTATTTTTATTCAAACTTTTATTTTTGACTTCCACACCATGCTTTTTGCCTGCTCCAGTTTAAAATGTTTTAATTCAAACAGCGTCAGTATTTTCCATTGTACTGCATAGAGAGACCGACCCAAACCACTTTTAATACCTCTGGCGTCTAAGCACAGTTTTTGTACGGTTTTTTTGTATGTTTGGGTTTATTTCTAAACAAGCAAACCAAAAGAGATTCACTGATTCTTAAAGGTAAATTTTTTTCTGAGTAGTTCCCAGTGAAAATTAACAGAATGAGTTGTTTTTGCTGAAGAATGGCCAGTCGGCATTTATTGTGTCATGAAGTCAGTGTAACGGAAGAGAAAAACAAACGCATCAGGTAAAGAATCAGCGACTCACTCCATCTTAGACACTTACAAATCATAGAACGCTGCGTCAATACAACGTAGTTTCACCCTTTTTGTTTAAAGTTGTGTATTTATTTAGCTTCATTTACTTTAATTGTGTGGTCTGTACACAAAGTGGGAGATGTTTCTGTATGTGGGGTGCGGTGTTTTTTTTTTTTTTTTCCATTTTACTGAACGGGTTTAAGTTGTGCTGTCAATATTTGACAGGCTTTTACCCAGCTGTGAAACAGTTTGATTTGATGAAATGTCTATAAACTTAGAATTCATTTTAAAATAAAGTGTATCGTCTTATTTCTGGGTGGCAAAACAATCTCGGAAAAATCTCAAAATTTCACAAAGGTGTTCCTCAAGGCTTTGTGATAGGGCCAATACTTTATATATATATATATACACACCATACATGATGCATGTAAATGGTGCAATAATGTTCACCTCTGTTCTCATGCTGAGTACAAATGTCATTGCCCAATTGTTGCTCGGTTGAGTTTGTATCATTTAACCTCATGATCCTGAGTCCTGAAAGAAACGAGGGCAATCTTATTTAAAATTTCTAATATTCTTAAGTTTACATAACTTCATTACAAATCAATTGTAGGTTTATGTGATGCTCAGAACAACACAGCTGAAACCTCGACTCAAAGACTTGTTATATTTCCAATCTAACCTTTGTAACATGGATGGGATAGTTTGTGTCGCACCAGGAATGTTCAACACTTGATGCCCCTATTTGCCCTCTTAGTTTTTGTTTTTTTTCAATTTAAATTTTTTTTTATCTGTATGTCAGAAGGCCTGCTTGTGTCACGCAGAAATAATATTTAGCTAAATAAAATAATTCAGCAACACAAATAAGTCTGGCTGCCCTCAGTCTAATAATGACTTAGTTTCTGCCTCCATGTTGTTCAGACTCGGAGGGGTCGGCTCCGTTCCCTCCAACTATCAAATTGTGGCCCAGAATAGTTTTTTCATACACTGGTTTGTGAATAAAAATGTAGGTCTGATGTTGACGTTTGGAAAAACTGTTTCGATTTATATTTTTATAACTCGCCTCACCCCTAAACACAGAAAAGCTTCGGCTGCAGAGAAAACTTCTGCGTTTCACTTCATCATTCTGTTCAGTGCCCAGTTCGCTACGGGCAGACTGAGTCAGTCCCACCGACAGATAGAAAGAATATCAGACATCCTGATATAAGACAAGGTAATGCAACTGTCACCTCAAGTTGCGACACACCGTGTAGCCCTGAAAGCCCCCCATCATTATATCTCATTATAATGAGATTGTATCTCAAAATAATGAGATACTAAATTACAGCCAATTTTTCTTTTCAGAAGGTGGTTCTTTCTTCACCCACTTGTGCCATTCAGAGCTGTGAAAGCATTACTGAATGGATGTTTTCATTTATAAAGGTGTATTTGCTAGTTTATTACAAATTATTTTAAAAAAAAGGTTTTTATTTCCTAATCCTTTCTCTTTTCTAAATTAGATATTTTATGGTTTTGCTTCTGTTGTTGGAGAGCAAATGAAGGGACACAAATGATTGTTCTTTGTGAATATAAGAGAAAACAGATAAAAGTGATTTTAGAAAATAAAAATATGAAAGTCACCACAAGTTGCAGGCAACTAATGAAGACTACGTACAGATAGATGTATATAGTTTAATTTCAAACAGAATTATTCAATTTAATTAAAAGAAAAAGAGATAAAAGTAATGCTGTGATGTTATTTATCTTATTTTTTGTTGATTAAGGTTTTAAAAACAAATTTAAAACCGCATCAGTAATGGTTGTTGAACCCCATAATGAACAGCAGGTGGCAGTAGTGTCCCAGTAGAAAGTTGTCAGCAACCTTTCTTGTGTAAAAAAGACTAAATGTTTTTTGTATCACAGTGGCAAGCAACTGGTAAAATGGAGAGTTGTGCAAAAGGTTGCTTACAAATTCAGTTTTGTACTAATGTTGGCCTCTTGAATTTAGACAGAAACATAAAACAGTTTATGCAATTTATTTGTGATATTTTAACTGTGGAAAATTCATGGGAAAAGAAAAAAAAAGCCACAAGGTCTTTCAGTGCCTTGAAAAATACTCGGGGCAGGATTCAGATCACAAATTTTAATCTCTACTCATTTGATATGATGGACCCGAACTAAGTCGTCTGTTACTGGACACGTACACAGTTCTCTAATTTTTACAAAAAACAAAACTGAAAAGTGCGGCATGCATTTGTATTTTATCTTTTAACTATTGCTTTTTGGAAAGCTTGTCCTGCTAAGAAAACGCCGACAAGCAGTGCATTCGTCTTCTTTTAAGTAACGTGATGCATCCTGATCAACATCGACGAACTACAAAGCAACACTTTGTGAAACGGCTGTGAACTTCCGATCTCAACTCGACTGAGCCGAGCTAGATGTTCACAGCCAACATCAGTGTCTGACCTCACGCATACAGTCGTTGAACAATGGTCGAAACTAGAAAATGGCTCTTGCTTATGTTCAAATTTGTGTAAAGTTGATGTAAAGTTGAAGCCGCGAAATTATTACTTTTGCCATTTTAACGTATACAATAGGATGAATACAATAAATGTTGGAAGAGAGGTTAAGCACTGTGTAGCCACTTGCCTCAACGCTCCGCATGGCGGAAGAGGCCGCAGAGCTGTGAGTTTCACACCATCTGCTGGTGAATAAGATCAGATGGTGAGGAGGCTGTGGGGATCAGGCCAACACAGTCAGAGCGGTTCCGGGAACCCAGGAGGGAGGAGTCAGCGAAGGAGTTTGATCCGTCCCTGCAGCGTGAGTCCGGTCCGCGTGTCTTCCTCCGGCCTGATGACGACTCGCACAGAGCTGAACGTGTTCCAAACGCTGACCACACTGCGGACCAAACCACAAGATCCTGGGGGAAAGACACCGATGCCGACGATGAAGCAGAAGTGGGTCTTTGTGTTTGTTGCGTGAAGAAAAAAAATGTGACAGTCGGGAGAGGGGAGGAAAAAAAAGCAATGTGGATAAAGTTGAGATGCTTGGCTGCCTCTGGAAAACTGCAGCGCAAAAGGAGGAGGTTAGAGGTTAAGCACATCAATAAATAATTTGTGATTTTTATGCCCTGCTGAGTGTTTCCGTGAGTGTGGTGACGCAAGTTTCGAATCCGTCCCGACCCAAAATGTTGAGGCTAATGTTGCAAGTCGGAAAAGTCACGTCTCACACCAGCTGTTAAAAGAAACGTTGACTTTATTTTCTTTGAAGGCCTGATTTCTGACAGGAATGATGGAAATCTGAAAGACATATGAAGAATTGTTGGATTGAATTTCCATTTAAAATCGGATCCGTCCATTTCTCCAGAGCAGCTGCCTGCTGAAATGAAGCATCCCCACGATATTTGTAAAAGTAATGAACAAAGATCACAAGGCAGACTTCCCTTTTAGATATTTTATATATATATATAGATATATATCTATATATATATAGACCTATATATATATATATGTATATATGTAGAGAGAGAGAGAGAGAGAGATTTTTTAAGAAATGTAGGACAGAACATGTTGAAGAATCACACAGCCTGAGATGGGAGATTGAAAGACCTTCAGAAAAGAGGCGAGACAAATAAATTAATTAAGATATGAATGAGGACAAATCTCACTGCTGCTTTCATTTAGCTTCATTGTGGTAGTAGGTAGTTTCCATTTCATGAGCGACATCTCACAAATTTGCAGTCTTCACTGTTTGGATGTTTAAAACAACTTTAAAAAAAAAAAAGCCAAGACAGAAATCTGACACAGACGGTTGAAGGAAACTGTGTGGAAAATAAAGGTCAAAGATTGAGAAAAAAAATGGAAAAAAACAGAAACACGATCCAAGCAGCATCGGCATTGTCTGCTATGCAGACGCACAAACATCCCCGCGGGAGAGAGAGCAAGTTGGAAAACATCAGCCACTGAGCATTTAAGAGCTTTTTTTTTTTTTTGTCTTAGACTTCTTGGAAAAAAAGAACCCAGTATATTCAAAGCTGCAAAGAACAACTATGCATTTCATGCATCATATAAAATATTAGGTCTTTCTTTTTCTGTATATTTACATTATATATTACACGATATTCTGTACAGTTAAACTGCCATCTGCACCACATTCATAAAAATATTTTCTGACCCATAATTATTTTTATACAGAAAAACAAAAAGAGGAAAAAAAATAAAATAAAATACAATATATCCAAACTGCCTGATCTGATTGAAGATGCCGAGGGTAAAATCTTGAACTCCAGTTAGTTGCAGCGAGTCCAGTCCTGGTTCTCCGCTGAACTCGTCCCATTTGGAGGTTCTTATTCTTTGTTGGTTTTGTTTTTTACAAGCAGAAGAGATCCTTGTGAGAAGCCAGGCTGCAAAGTCAGTCTCTTCTCTGCTTCAGAGGCAGGACCCTCGTCTGTGTTTTCTGCAGAGCTTAAAATGACACTTTTGTCTAAAGACCTGCGTGTCTTACGTCAGTCAGCTACTGAGGCTGAGTGGACAGGCGGTCAGACAGACTGTCTGACCGGTGAGCAGCCAGCTGCTGCTGCTGCTGTTGTTGTTGTTTCTGTTGCTGCTGCACTGCAGCAGCGAAGGTGCTGTGCTGCTGCAGAGGGAACGCCGCCTGGAGGATTAGCTGGGCCGACTGGTTTCCATGAAGGAGCCGAGGAGCCTGGAGCGCAGCATTTAGATCAGTAAGACAGAGGAAACTTTTTGTCAACATTTAATGCAAGAAACAAAGTCATTCTCACACCGTTAAGAATGTTCCTAAACTTCAAAATACTTAAGTTGAAAACTTAAAATGACTCTCATGCACACAGCCATGAATATGATTCTGAACAGAAATTTACATACAATTATGAACATTAATGGACATTCATTTTAAGTTTTTATTGAAGCATTTGTACTGCTCTTTTTACAGAATTGAGAAGCTACGAAGTATACAATTTCAAAATATTCAAATTTAGGAAAGTTTACAACCCTAAAATTTTATGTTTTGGCTGTTTTTTCCTTACAAAGTGAAAGAAGCAAATGATAGTGAAATTTTACATTTTATTTAAACTTTCTAAAAGCATGATGTGTATCAGTCCCCTAATGCAGCCAATTGCCTTCAGAAGTCAAGTTATTAGTAAAAACAATTCACCAACTGAACCATATATCTATATGTCTATATATATATATATATATATATATATATATATATATATATATATATATATATTATATATATGCTCCATACGTATATATATGTGTATGTGTGTGTGTGTGTATGCTCCATACGTATATATGTGTGTGTGTGTG